CACCATATTGCATCCTTTATTGGCTGTCATATTCAGATAGTTTTCAAAATCGTTTCAATACCATAAATCTGGGCAAAAGTATTTTGTATCTGCATTAGTGATCTGCATCGGGCCTAATTTTTCAAGCCCGGCCCGAAATTTTTTTAAAAAAGTTTTGCACCCGAAATTTTTTAAAAAGTTTTGCCGGCCCGAACCCGAAATTTATTTTAAGTATATTTACCGGCCCGGCCAGATCCGAATTTATTTAAATATAGAAATTAATTTTTATAATTACTTAAAATAAAAGACATATGTTATATAGAGTTTAGTTTCAATAAATTAAATCAAAAATTTTTATTTTACATAAAAAATTCAATATAAAATTGTTAAATTTAGATATATTTAATAAAATTTCCAAGGTCCGACCCGACCCGGCCCGAAATTTTTTAAAAATATTAGACCCTGCTCGAACCCGATTATTTTAAATAGAATTAGGCCCGAAGCCCGTTCGGGCCAGACTCGGGCCGGGCCTAACTTTGCAGATCTCTAATCTGCATACAATACTTGTAGTGTTTTATTAAAACTCAAACTCATTCTAAGCAGCTTTGGTCAGGTTACTCCTGACCTAAAAGATTAAAAATTCATACCGCACAAAAAACTAGTTGACTGACAAGCAAGAATAGGTCCGAGCAGTAGAAGACATTTTATCCATCTTTCAGAAAATATTTAATCTCTTTTGATCAATTTATATACATAATACTTATTAACAATGTTAATATTTCATCATATCGTCGGCCTAGAATTGGACTGCTCCACTTGCGCAAATGTTTAAAATGAGAAAAAATCAAATATAGGAAAAACTTATTGCTCAATTTAATTAAAAATTTCAGAGATAATTTATCATTTTGTTACTTAATTATAGCCTAAAAAATTTAAATATAAAATTTATTTAATAAATCAAAATGCAAGTGGAGCAAATATAACACTTTTATGATTTTTTTTAATGTTCAAAATGCTCCATTTACATTTTATTAATGTAATTTAATAAATAAATTAACTATATCTTTTTTTTCTTTTCTATTTTATTTATACAATAAATAAAAATGAATATAAAATAAAATTAATATTTAATTAATAATTTTTTCCATATATTCTCTATCAGCTCTGGGCATTAACTAACATTGTTCTAATATCTTTTTTAGTCTCATCGTTAATTTTACCATTCGTTCTCAGGATCAATTTAATATTTGAAAAATTTATTGTAACTAATTCTTGGTCAAAATTTGATCTACTTGTTTTCGAATCCTGTAAAATTGATACTTATATCATATTATTGGATTTAAATGATAATCTATATTGCAATTAAAAAGGTTCAGTTTTTGAGATTTTTATTGACTTTAATTTAGTGAATGGTATATGGTTAAATTTGAATTTTTTTTGATGAAGAATGGAAATCGAAATAATTATTTGTGGTTATTTCAATCACCTCAAATGGGTTTTTGCGATTTGCAACTCTTATTAATCTATAAAGAGTTAGAGGGCTATGGATTTCATGTTTTCTTAAACATCTTTCAATTTGACTATGTATTGAATCGACCTCTTGTAAAATCGAATGGCCAGGAGCACCATATTTGATTTGAATTGTTTTGATTTGACTTGTCGTATTATTAGCTAAATAATGTTTTAAAGCATAAATTATAATGGAATTTTTATTTTGGGCCACACAGGAATCAGCCCATAGAATTAGATGAGGGATAGTTGGAAATTTTTTTAATATCACATCTACTAATGTTATCACACTGCAAGTAATATCATTACCAGTTCTTCCAGTTTGGCCTTGATACCAAATAGCACAATACCCACATTTGTCTTGACTACAATATGCAGTTTCATTATAAACAGACAATATTCTTTTATAATACGAAGATCCAACCTCAGATCTTGGTAATGTTATAACATTTTGAAGGTCAAATGATATGATTTGACTTACCTATAATTCTATCTATACCTCTTTCAATACTAGTTTCAACATATTAATACTAGTTTCAACATAATCTTCACGATGCTTATTGTAATTACAAATATCGTTTAGCAAATCCAATATTAAAATTATTTTTAATTGTTGTGTAATAATGAGATTTAACAGGAATTCTTGATAATTCCTCACATTTTTTAGAATATAAATCATAAAGTATTTTATAATTGAGACTTCCCTCAAAGTATTCCTTTGAAGAATCTTTTCGCCTATAATGCAAGTGCACCTTTGGAATGGTATTTATGTGATCAATGATGAAATCTTTATCCTGATCAGAAATAACTTTTTTAGTATTTTTACCTTTTCTAGGAGCCAAATAAGTTCCAGTATTTTGGTATAAATGTTTAAAAAAATAACTAATTCGTTTATTACTTATATCAAGTGTTTGTAAAAAAAAATTGTCTGCAAACTCTAACTTTAATATTCTCCACTTCAAAAAAATATAAGTATGAATAGTTTTTATAATTTAAAGAATCTTTTACCCTTCTTTTACATGGAGACCTAACAATAAATTTGCTATAGAAAGATCCCTGCTTCATCAGTTAAGCTCCAAAAAACTTCATGAATAATTTTTCTCTAATCTGAATTAACTTTTTGATGACATTGAAATATACATTTATTAGAATGATCATTCTGAACCATCCTTGCTCTTTTCAAATCACCTTTGATATTGATATAGGCCTCAGCACATTCCCTTAGTCTTTTTCTTTCATTTGCTTCGCTTCTAGAAATATTAAAAAATTGTTTAATTTCATTATAAATATTAAAATTTTCATTTATGAGCAAGTAATGCTTAATAATTTATTTAAATTATGAAAGAAAATTATTAAAAAATTGTTAAATTTCATTATAAAGATTGTATTTTTATATGAGCAAGTAATACATAATAATTTACTTAAATTATAAGCATAATTTAAAAATTGTTAAATTTCATTATTGAATATAATAAAAAATTTACCCATTTAATTTGGAATAGAGATATGGAATAAAAATATTTTACGATTCAATATAGAAAAAAAAAATTAAAATAGGAGGGAAAACAACACGTGATTAAATAACATAATAGGATAGGCCATGCATATGAAGCAAATAATACATCGTTATATGCAAATAGCGCAAAATTGTCACAGCTATAACTAGCAAAAATTAAGATTTTTTAATCTAGTTTTTATTTTTATATATATTGGGAACAAATTAGTAATTTTCCACTTCTAACTCAAAAATTTTGAAAATGTCGAGTGGAGCACTCCAATTCTAGACCATATTAAATGTAATTAAGAGTAATTTTTATCATTATTTTTAATAAAATTTCTAAACTGATGATGCAATGCATTTCAAAAAAAGCTCAGATTTAAAAAATATATAAATTTGGATCTAGATTTTTTAAAATTTTGATAATTTTTACGGCCTCGGCCTGATTTAAAAATTTTTTCATTATAATTTTGGCTGTATTTTATTAAATGATTCATATGGAAATTGATTAGAGAAGCAAATAAATATTATATGATTTATTTTTAAAAATTCTTTCCGGACCAATAAAATATAGACTCAGCTCTTGTCTCACCAAATACTAATATTATCATTTTCCTACCATTTTGCCTGATTAAATATAAAATGGATTTAAAGAATATAAAAAGTTTTTTAAAAAAATAGAGGGTGGCGAATATTTGCTATTCATTTTCATATCATATTTTGTAATACATAAACATTAAATTGTCAAATTTATTACTGTATTTAAATTTCCTGCTTAACATTAGAATAGCGAATAAAATTAATGCTTAAATTTACTTCCTTATTTAAAGATTCGACCCGGTCCTAAAGCTAAAAAAATTATATCAAGCCCGAGCCTAGGTCGTAAAATTTTGATTTTGCTGGTCTAATATAATTAATGAATATCGTTATATGATAAAAAGAATTGACCTAAATCTAATATGGGTCACATTAATAAGTTTCATCGTCGATAGTATATAAAATTTTCACTCAATATTTTAATACTATGTCAAATTATTTCGGACCATCGAAAAATTATACTTTCATAGAATATTTAAAATGTTAGAAGATAAAAAAAAAGTTTCCCCTTTTGATTATCATATTTACCTTTGTTTAAACAAGTAATGATTATTATGAACCAGAATTGAAAATGCCAAATTTATTTATTAAAATATATAGCTGATCAAAATCTTTCGAAAATAACATAAATAAACTAAACGTAAAAATATAAAATTAACTAAAAATATACAATCAAACTAAAAAATTATAAAAGTTTTTTTTCTTTTTTCTATTATTACATTTTCGATTTTACTATTTATACTACTAAAATCTACATACCATTAATAATTATTTTTAATCAAATTAATTGTTTCTTCAAAATTATAATTAACTTTTCTTTTTCAATAGACATTCCACAGTTATGGATTCGGAAAATTAATGCCTTATTAAAGAATTTCTTTCATCATCTTACCATTCTTCTTATAAATCAAACGTTTATTTGTGTCCTAGACTACATGTAACTAGAAAGTCGAACCTAACTATTAAGTATAACTGATCAGTTCCATTCGCTTAACATTTTAAACTAGTTCCTTTCCAGTTACTGTTTAATATATCAGTTTTTTCGGTTTTTTTTAAAATAAACAGAATATATTTTTAATTGATTCATAAAAAATAAAACCAAACAATTATAGAATAGTCGAATTTAATTATTTTTTTTTAAATGATAGAAATAACAAATTAAGTAATATTATAATTTTTACTATTTATTTTAAATTACGCTATCCATTAAAAATAAATTTTAAACGCCGTTATGGACCGCTTTGAAAGTACACGGTTCATTCCTGTTTCGTTTTTGATTTGGTTCGACATTCTATATGTAACCTTTACAATTTACCTTAGATGGTATACTAAGTAAAGAATTTTATAGCGGAATATGATTAGGCATACGCGATAAATTCGAATTAAAATTATATATTTCTCTAATCTATAAATATAGCCCTCATCAACTGAAAATGGAACTGGATTTATGAATAACATTTTGGAAGTAAAAAAATCAGATTTCGAAGTTTTTGACGCCCTAGCCGATGATTTAGCATCCGGTCAAGATTCTAATAATCGTAACTCTTCCGATTCTTCCTCTGGTTTTTATTTTTTGAATTTGTTATAAATTTTTTATTATTTAATGAAAATTATTTTGATAAATGAATTAATATACTATATCATATTCATATCATAAACCTTTTTATTGAATTATTGTGGTCTTTATAACTTTAAAAACTATTAGAGAAATTATCATTATGAGACTTGAGTTATGGTGTCAAATTTTTAAAATATCAATAAAAATATTTTAATTAAGCAATACTTTTGATCAACGATTTATCTTTTAATATTATGCTAGACCAGATTAAGTTTTTTCCTTATTTGTTTTCATAAATTTATCTAGCTATTATTACAAAATTAGATATTGTTAAGTAAGTTGTTTTATAAAATTTCAAATGATTGAATTGCGAAAGCATTTTCTATATGTGAATTAGAGGTCTACATTGAGTGAGGTTTCGTCCCGCCCGCCCATCTAATAAGGCTGGCGGGTGGATGGGCAAAAAAAATTTAAAAACGGGCGGGTTAAAAAATTGAAAATCATTTAAGTAAATATTAATAAAAAAAATTGTTTTTTAGGATATTAAAAAATTAAAATGTCCTTTTTTGGTATCATAAAACTTTTTTCTTAAAAATAAAAATTTTTTGTAAATTTAAACTACTTTGGTGGAAACGACAAGAGATTTTCTGAAGCTATCAAGATTAGCAAGAAAAATATTGGCAATTCCTGCAACTAGTGCTTCTTCTGAACCAGGATTTAGCATTGCTGGAAGGTTTTCAAAGAAAAACGTTTTTGAATCCAGAAAATTTATATTCATTATTATTTTTGCATTTATTTATATATTTTTCATAAATATTTTATTTGATCAAATAAATTATCCATAATTTAAATTGAATATTTTTTTTTACTTAATAGAGTAATTTCCTAAATTATAAAACTTTTTGTAGAGATGTAATGCTGAAATTTTTTTTTATTAGATGCTTAAAAATTTTTTTATAAATAATGGGTGGGCGGGTAAAAATTTTTAGACTAATAGGCAGGCGGATAAGGAATTTTAGACTAATGAGCGGGCGTGCGGGTATATTTTTTTGAAAACTATGGGCGGGCAGGTTAAATTTTGGTCCAAAAACCCGCCCAATGCAGACCTATAATGTGAATACATATTAGCTTAACAATTATTTTAACTTATAATGTGGTATTGATTTGTATGCAATAGGGTCCAATCAATTCGTGGCTAACAAACAATTAAACTATTTGGATGATTCAGGTATAATATTAATTTTTACATAATATAATTCAAGAAAAAAATCATTGTTAGTTGTAGAGTATTATTCCATCTTGATATATAAATTTATACTATCTTTAAAAACTAACCAAAAATTAAAATTTTTCTTAATCAAAGGCTATAGCAAAGATATCCCTTCCCCAAAACTCCTGGTCGATTGGGATAGATTATTTTGTTCCTCTTCAAACTCGGCTGGCTCTCAGAATGCTAATGGAGGGACATTTAGTGGGCCCCCAATTTTACCTCCCCAATTGCTTCAAGTAATTCTCAACAAAGATATTCCATATCATTACGAGCCCGAATTGCTACCCGAGCCCAATCACGTCATGATCAACCACTTATATGCGCTATCAATTAAGGTTTCATATTTTTGCTAACTATATTAATCATAGACATTTAATGAATATTCGATATAGTAGAAGGATATCTAAGAGCCCTAAAATCTTTTATAATTTTTTTTTCCAGCCAATCTGATCGAACCTGGGAAAATTTTTATAGACTGATCTATTATTTTAGAAAAACGTTCAATGAGGAAAAATAATTTACATAATAAAAATTAAATTTTAAACGCTCGAGAAAATAATAATAAATTTTGATTTATTTTCTAGAAAAAATTTTTTTATAACAGCATCAGGAAAGCAAACTCATTTAAATTTTTTTATAGGAAAGATATGAAATCTAGGTTCATATCTTAAGATGTTCGGAGTAGGCTCAACTGAACAGGGTTATTTAAATTTCCTAGAAAATTGGGGGAAATAGGGAAATTGCATTTAAAAAAATATATACTATGCAATATTGAATTTTTTTTACTCTTTCTGTAAAATATTTAGACTATTAATATATCATTGAAAATATAATATAATTTCAATGATTTTGAAGTGACTCTAAATCTGATCTTGAACATCAAGAATTAACCAATTAATCAAGCCTAAAACTTACTTACTCCACAAAATTGATATTCGTTCTTAAGGAAACAAGTTTTCGTACTTTCTCTTTTTTAAATCCTCTTTCGTGATTTTGAATCTATATTTTTTATGTGCTCTATAAGTAAATAAATTTACTGTTTTTTCTGAATATTTTTTACTAGAATTCATTAACATCATTTATGATTCAAGGCTTTTCTAATTCCATAAAATAGACAAGTGGAAATTAAAATTTTGAAACTTATAAATTGATAAGGCTAAAATTTAATTCTGACTAGATCTCAAACATTTATTACAAAATAAATTAAATCTAAAAAACTGTAAAATCGAAACTTAACTAATATGAATTAATTGTCCTCCTGAATGTTATAAAGTAGGATATGATTATGTTTATTATTTTCAAATACAGTAGCAATAACAATTATAATATACTTAATTAATTAAGCTAATATACTATGATAATCACAATTTTTAAATATTTTTTATGTCGAAATTTCTGGCATATGTTCTTAATAAAATAATCTGGGTTATTGATTTGAAAGTTAAATGAGAAAAAAATGTGTTATAATAAAAATCGTGAATGTTTGAGTTTGAAACCTGAGGACGAAAGGGGATTTCGGTATTTCTCTTGTTAAAACCGGTTCCTGGAAATTTTAAAGAGTGTTCCGGTTCTCATCAAGAATATAAAAATAGGAATAAATTTCCTTTACAATACATCCCTATCTCTAAAATGTGCCATTATTTTAAATGATTGCAAAGTATCTTATATTCAATATTCTTTTACCATCTCAAAATTTACTAATTTTTAAGAATGATTAATTTAATAGACTTTATTTATCGATCATAAGAACAATAAATCTTTGAATTGTCTGGCGTTAATATATTAAATGCTAAATATCTTATTAATTTGATTTTTTTTCTTATACTAGGATGGTGTTATGGTAATGAGTTGCACTCACAGGCACAATAAAAAATATGTCACTACCTTATTATACAAACCAGTTGTTCAATGAAAAATGTTACTTTTCTACATTTATTTACGAACGAAACAATATTAATATTTATGTCCATTAATAACGTTGTGAAGGCCACTCAATACTCTTTTAATTATACCATCATAGGCAAAGTATTTTTTTTTATTTTGCGAAAATTATTGCGCATAAAATCTTAAGAATTACTAACATTTTAAATAGATTATATATTTTTTTATATATTTAAAATAGAGTTGATTATATATATCATTCCGTCTTAATTTATAGATAATATTTATTATAATATCTAAGTCGAATAGTTAAAAAAAATTGTTTGTATATATCACTAATAAATAAAATATAAAAATTATCCTATATAATATACTGTGATATAGAATCAGACACGTAATTAATATAATACTATATTATAAACTTTAAATCGCGGAATTTTTTTCTCATTTTATAATCGTTTTCATCCAAATTTTTTTTTTGAAATCTATGGCACACACGCATTGAAATTTTTTTAAATTAATCTGTTAAATTTAAAAGGTGGAATATTTTAATTTATTCTTTTCATTTTTTATGACCCAATCATAGTTATTGTTTATTATAACATAACGATTTTTTTTCATCTTAAAAAAGTATCTTTCAGTCCTTTGAGATTTATCTTTTTTTGACAATTTTAACTCTTATATTCAATTATTGCAGGTGTTGATATATATTTCTTGGAATAATTAATTTTTAGTTTCGCTATGATTAATTATTATGGACATCAACTCCAACTTAATTTTTCATTAAATCAATTTAATTTATTCATTTTAATAACAAAATGATTTTTATGCGTTAACCTATTTTTGTAGTTAACAATATTTTAACATTTATATTTTTCAAGTCATATTTTAAAAAAATTGATTTTTTGCTCAATCATTATTATATTATTTAGTATGTACATTTAGGATTATAAATTACTAAGTTACGCTTATTTTTGATTTGAAATATTTTTATTTAATTTAAATATACATATATAGATTATATATCAAGAAATATTTATAAGTATGTAATAACTACATTTTCGTTTCACAATCAAAATGTAAAATATTATACATCTTTGAGTATCAAATATATTAATATAGTTCACTTTATATTTACAAATTATTTAAAATTTATATTGATCTTTACAAAATTTTTACTTGTCATATATAATAAAAATCATGATTTACTAATAAATTATTAAAAAATTTGTCAAAGGTTTTTGTTGTTAAGAGAATATTATTTTATAGATTGAATAATTTTAAGGTATTCTTTTCTATAAAATATTTTTTAAGATATACTTATAGAAATATGAGGAAATTTTCTAAATTATTTGTAAATAATTTAAATTTCCAATATCTCTTGACCAATATACATGGACAAAAGGGTTCATTAGATTCGAATGGTGATCTATAATTACGAACCTAGCCCAAGTCATTTCCAAAACGGCTAAATCTCAGCTAAGGCGTTCTGGAGTCGGCTTAATTTAGGTAATTTACTAAAAATAATTACCCATATTTTCGGCTTTATTATACTACAGAGGTGGAGGACATTCATTTTGCTTACATCTATTATCCTCGCATGTCAATTTTAAAAATTTAGTTTTAGTCATAAATATAACATTATATGACCTTCATACTTACTTTTATTGGTAAAAGTGTTAGCGAAAAATCTCTATTTCTGCTCATTTAACATGGAATGCTAAATGGACCTTGAGAAAATCAGGTGTAACGAATGGCTGATTTTGGAAATGATGGCAATGTACGAGGATCAGGGTTTACATTAAAGGGAGGGCAACAGTTTGCTTCAAATTTTTCTTGAGGCGGGTAGGTATTTAAGGGGGGGGGGGGTAGGATGGGAGGTTATCTATTAAAGTTTTGGAGCAAAATATATTTCTCTAAAAAATTATTTAATACCTTTTATAGACCAATAATACAATGAAATGCTAAACATTAACTAAATCTATATATTGCATACATCATATTATTTCTCAAATAAAACTTATTTCTGGATATTTAATTCATGTTCTAAAAAATAACCTTTACTTTCAAAAATTTTATTTGGGATTTCACAAAGAGAAGGCTTGTACATGCAATATTAGTGTTAAGTTTCTCCTATATAGTGTTGTTAAATGGCCAGTTGGGTCGATTTTTAAAAAGAGCCCGATTAAGATTTTAGTCAAAATAATATTATGTAAGCCTGGAGATTGTTCATAGATGACAGCAAAAAAATTTGGACATTTACCAAATCTCGAGGCTTACATAATATTATTTTAATCCTAGTCGAGCCGTTTAACAACATTTCTCCTATGCCTTCCAAAAAAGTTATATTTCATCATCTAAATGATTCACAGCCAATGGGGATGTATGATTATTTTCACATAACTTGTTTTAAATAATTGCAGTAAATTTTAGATGGATGTACATGTAACAAGATTTTTTTTGCTAAATATTATATAGAATTATCAATTAAAATAAACTAACTTAATAATTATACCTTCCCAGGTAGCTTGTCATACATTAAAACTAGTAGAAACACAAGATGGCAACAAAATAAAACTGGGCCATCATTTGAACTAATTAAATTATTACTTTTTATTAAATATGTTGTCCTTACACGTTCCTGCAGAACTTTTTCTCAGTCTAGTAAGGTTTATTTTTGTAAAGAAACAATCACGTCCTTTAGATAGAAATTTTGAAAATAGTTATTGTTAAAGGCAAGTAAAAATTTACTAAGGCCGAATTTTTATAAAAATTATCCATGCAAATATATGATATTTTATTTTGATGTAAATATATTCTATTACCAAGATTTTCAGTGTAATTATATTTTAATATAAATAAATTGTATATTTTCTTTTAAATACCTTTGATTAAGATTTGTAAATTTAAATTAAAAAATGATGCGTTATGTAAATGATTTATAAAGTATCTCATAATGTAACTAATTACTTTTGACAAACAACTATGACTAACTAGTTGCATCCAAAAATATAACTAGTTACATTTCAACTTTTAGCAACACTAGTGAAAGGGGATAATGATAACGTAGAAAAGTGTGGTTTAGATATTAGCAATAGAGCTACTAGGAAAAAATAAAAAAAGTTTCATTATTTGGGTGTTGAACACAGATGAAGGTTTTGTTTCTGCAATTGTTGCAAAAGCCACATATGCCAAGAAAGATATTTCGATAGATGTCGACTCTTCAAACAGATAAGAATGTTTCTGAAGCTAAAAGAAAAAATTTGCACAGGAAGCTGAGGGTTAGGGTTATACGGTGGGAAAACCTGGGTAACGAAAACGGCATCAGTCTAATTTGGAAAGAATTAAGAATAGTCAGATGGATATGTAGGGTATCTATCAGAGGAAAACAAGCAAAATGATTGAATAGAAACGATCGGATATTGTGATGAGAAGAAATGACTGAGGTGGTTTGGGCACGCAGACCGAAAGATGACAAGAGATGCACACCGATGGAAGTAATAGGATCAAGGCTTGGGGAAGACGCAGGTGAAAATGACATGAGAATAGTGGGTCTTACAATATGACGCCCAGGACAGTAGGAAGTGGACAAATGGGATAAGAAGGGAAATTGGCCTAGCCGGGTAAACTTGTAAAGTATTGAATTCCATGAAAAAAAATTTCCAAATAAGTAATATCAACCCTTCAAGCTTTTTAACATCCAAACGCCTTGACTAATTTAAGTACATTAGTTGGTAATAAATTACTGATCGCTAATTATTTTTTATACCTAAACATATTAATGTTCTTCTTTAAATGAATTTTCATTTGTTCCGATTTATCTATCACTTGCTGGAAATTAATAAAAATTCCACAATCCTAACTTAATGCTGGGTGAACTGCGATTACTATATGATTGTCAACCAAATCAGTTGTGATGTGATTATTTATTCATCATATAATTTTATTTTTTTGAAAACTTTATTATTATAAAAAAACTGTTCAGAATTTAATTTTAAATATAACATTATTTACAAATTTAAAAATATATGATTAACAATGATCCTATATACTTTAAAAGTTCGCCTTTAATTGAATTCGCACATATGCCCACACCCAGTAGGGCAAAAATTATGATTATGAAACCAATTACTTAGATGCTCAAGATGTCCACCATGTAAGCATCCTATACAGGATAGATATAACCCTTTGACTGGTAAATGGCTATTCAAATTTTGATAAAAAATTATAAATAATAATAATAAGTCAAGAAATAAATTACCAGTTCTTAATTTATATTTAATTTGTAATAATTTCTGACAAAATTGTTTTAAAATAAGATTTTAAATAACAAAGTGTTAATTAAATTAATTATAATACCATATCGAACATGTATTGACATGCTTACGACATTTTTGACAGACAAAAATAGATTTGTTTTGTTGAGAAGTGTTAGAATAAACCGCATAGTTAGGTCTTTTGCCACAGTAGGGACATGGTCCATTGCCGTAGTAAGTGGAGGTCCTATTTATGGCGTTAATTTCGTCTAAAGGGCACCATTTGATTATTTTATTTGCGAAAACATACATTTGGCGCTTTCTCAGAAAATCTATATTTAAAAAAGATACTGTAACCAATCACAGTTTATTCAGTTTCTATATTTAGTTTGATTGCATCAAATTAGTAAGAGATATTTTACTTATTTAAAATTTTAAAAAAGGAGTCATATTCTAAATAAATCGGTTAGAATCAGGTATTTGGAAAAAAATTATGAAATATAAACCATTAGTTACTCCTGAACACTTCTAAAAAATACATTTGAAACGTAATAATATTAATTTTTTTATTACATAATTATAATTATTAATTTTTTGTTTTTTTTCTCCCAATTTTTATTTTCAGTTAAAAAATTTTAAGAGAATGGAAGAAAAAATTATATAACAGTCTGGCCGGAACTGGAATGAAACAGAAACGCAAAAAATAGCCTTGCTCCGGGTTCCTGTCAAATTTTGGCAATATATAACTTTATTTAAAAAATAATGGCCTTATTAACCAATGGGTCCGACAAATCAGATCTGTGTCCTTCACATTACTAAATTTTATAAATATTATTCATGGAAAACTTAACTTAACATTTTTATTTTAAATCACTGTTTTTAAAAAAGGAGACATGTATTACAAAAGGACCTTGAGTTTGAAAAAAGATATGATGTGGAACTAATAAGCTAAAATATTAATTAAAAAGATGCACCCATTTTTTAATATTGACCAGATCACATACATTTTTTAAATCGGTCGATATTTTTCACATGACTAAACGGATCGGGCGGGGTTCAGACCCGGGGGGGGGGCATTATTACGTTGTGTTTGGAAGGATACATATATTAAGCTATAGGGGTGTACCGATACTACTTTTTGGAGGCCGATCCGATACAATATTCCCGATATTAAATTGATATCGGCCGATTACCGATCCAATATCATTTTAATTTTGTATCCTATAAAGATACCAATGGTTTTAATTTTTAATATACTTTTTATTAGTATAACTAACATCTATAATTTAACTATACCATAACATATGTCATTTTGATATATTATAATGATCAGTTATAGTTATATTCAATTCAATTGCAATTCTGGATATAAAATATTTTTATTGATAAATCACTTATTTATATAATAAGTAATAACAATTATCTATTTACATAATATACAAATATATTATGAAATTTGAAATAAATATTTAAAATTATCGAAGATTTCTTTTTAGAAATACCAAAATTTACAATTTATCAAAGGTCAGTCTGCGGCGATGGGGACTGTCAATTTCACTAAAAACAGATTCTGAAAAGATTATAGAACACTTTTATAAACAGAATGCGTAAAAAAAATAACAATATGGCAGAATGTTTATTAATTATTATTATTAAAAAATTAAACATAAAAATGAATTTCGATTTTATTTATAGAAATAAATGGTTTTTTTAGATATAACTTCTTTTTAAATTTAATATTTTATTTTTGTTAAAATCGCCATTTTTTATCGGATCGGATCTGAAATTTTATAATATTTGCCGATAACCGATATTTAAAATGGGTGAAATATCGGCCCGATCCGATCCGATAAAAAATATCGGTACATCCTTATTAAGCTGTATTTGTTTTTTCTCGCTTGTTTGGAAATGGCTTTAGTCAACATTTGGAATGAAAAATAAAGTTGTTTTTAAAAATTATTACTTCTTTCCTAGTGAAAAATATGCTCTATCAATTTTATTGTAAATCTAATTAGAATTTTTCATCAGAACGATTATTCTCGCTAATTTTTTTAAATTGAGTTTATTTTTAAAAAAAATAATTTTTTTTACAAGAAAAATAATTTGTGTTTCAAAATTTTGTTAAAATAATTTTTTTAAGCGTGTTTTATTGTTCTATTTTTCCCTAGTTTTTAACACTTAAAATATTCTATATGTTTTTTACATCTAAATATATAGTAAGAATCCATCTTTTATATTTTGGCAATGGGCTCCGAGTCATTGGCTTGAGAAGGATAGGGGGGGGTCTAGAAGGTTCTGCATAAAGCATATTCTGTACTATATATCGCAATTTGTGACCCGGTCCAATATTTTTTTTAGATATTTTTTAGGACCGATTTTACATTTTTTTAGGGCTGTGACGATATTAAATATCGGATCGGCACCGATATTTAGCGTTTTCCTAAAATATTGGATCGGGTTGATAATTGTAAAAACCCGATCCGATTTTTTTACTTTTCTTTTGTTATTTTATGTATATTTATTTTATATTAATAATATTTTCTAAATAATTTTTTTTAAACAATGCAAAAACACCCTTTAAATTTTATTTATTTTTTTAAATAGATTTATAGTATATTAAAAGTTTTATAAAAATAGAAAGGAACACCCAAAGTTTTATTTAGTTTAAATTTTTTTAAATAATAACGCCAATTTTAATATTTATACTTTAAATTATGTTGTAAACAAACGCGTTCAGAAGTTCGTTTTTTTTGAAAAAAATGATGAACGGCGTTCCTTTTATTTTTGACGAACTTTCAAAGTGAATGCATTCCTTTTTTTATGACGAACGTGTTGGAATTTAACTTTCGTTCAATTTTGAAAACACTTTTTATTTTTATTTATTTGAAAATTTTAATATTAATCTGAATTTTTTAAGAAAAAAGTCTTATATTTTATAATCAATTTTCCTTTTTTCACATTTCAATTTTTTTGACAAGCCATTATTATAGTTTATTAATTTGAATATTATTGTCTATATTTTAATTTAATAGATTAGCATAAGCATGGATATTATTATTTAATCGCCATTTGATTCTAAAAATTTAAAATCAGATGAATTAACATTACCATAGCCCAAATATGATAATTATTTGCAGTAACATCCTATATTGAAGGAACTAATTCAATACTTACCAAATGTAAAATGTGCCCAAAAAGTATTATAAGTTTTAAAATCTTCAAGTTCCAATTTAAAACGAAATTTGGTCGTAATATTAATTATTTCATTTTATATAATATAATTATGTAAAATCATTAAATTTGAAGAAAAGATGCATTTGGAAATTTGACCCCAACAATAACGATATTTATTTTAAAATTAAAAAAAATTAGTGGCCTAAAATATGGTCAACTATCGCAATCCCCTCATCTGCCCCTGTTTTTTAGTTTAGCTAATGCCATATTAACTGCCAAGCGTTCCTGTCTATCAGATGAAAGAAAAACAATTGTTATTAAAAATTGATACGAAAAATTTTTTGTAAATAAAAATATCATTTTATTCACTATTTTATATTGTATTTATAATTATGCTATCAAAAAAAAATAATATTATATTTTAATATGGCTAATATATTGTGTTAAAAAATATAAGACATTTATTTATATTAAATTTTATTTTTAAAAGAAATTTGTCATAAAATTTTGAACGAACGAGAACGCGTTCCTTTTTTTTGAAAGTGAACATGAACGCGTTCGATTTTTTTAGAAATAAAATTTTTTTTAAAATATTGTATCTGAATTAGATCATTTTAAAAAATCGTTATGTGCGGAATTCTAATTTCACGGGGAGGAATAAAGAAAATTGCATTTAATACTCAATATCTGTAAACTTTTTTTAATTATTGTAGAAATAAAAAAATTCAATTAAATGCATAATTCGATTTTTCGCATAAAAAATATTGATTTCTTAATTACATTTATTTCAAAGGGAGATGGTGAAAAATTACTATAAATATCGGATCGGTTTTGCCAATATCAGAAAATATCGGATCGGATCGGTGAAAAATATGTGGATCTCCGATCTTGAGATTTGAATTAATATTTTCAAAAATTAGTCGGTCTATACAAAAACAAATTTTTACAAATTATTTTTTACATTAATAATAAAGTAATATTGTATATTTAATTTTTGACTTTAGGTCCGAGTCCCCTATTAAGTCATGACATAAAGCTGAATGTAACTAAGAAACATTTTAATATTATTTTTATTTAAATTAAAAAAGTAATTCAAACAAAAAGTATTCAAAAAATAATAATTACCAATATATATGGAAAACCAATGGCATATAGTTAAACGACTGATATATGGCAAAATTTTCTGACCCAAAACGATTATTATGTAAATTGATGTTTGAATGTCGTGCTTATATTTTAAATAAAAATTACATTCGTAACAAATTTATTTTTAACTTTGTTGTTAAAACAAATTCTGTACATTTGAACAATTATATCTAATCTCAATTCAAAATCATTGTTCTAATTTTTTGATAAAACAAAAGTAAAATATGTCATATTTAATATGCAGGTTTCGTTGTGTTAAACTATTTATCGTCATATATTTAAAAAAAATCTACCTCTTTTTCCACTAGGCTGTGCAAACAATAACAAATATAATTTCCGATAAAACTATCGTGAAACTTTTTTGAATTCACAAGAGTATATGATGATTTTTTAATCTTCCCATTATTCCTTATACCATTGGTTATGAGATCATTGTGACCCTCACTGTAATTATTGCGATCAACTTTTGTATCATAATTTTGAGCCTTGTTATTGATCAAGATTTTATTGGTGATCGTATTCGATTTGTTTCGGAAATCGTTAAGAATCGCGGACGCTTTTAAATAATACGCTTTTAACTCAAAACTGTTCTCGATCTCGTCGATCTCTTTTAGGTTTATCGTTGGACTTGAATAACATATATTTTTTTGAGATGATGATGTAAGGCCTTTTTTGTTTAGTTCAGCATAATATGACGAATATGAAATTTTTCTTTATTTATAAATGATATATTACGGTAACGTAGCTTAGAGAATGTTACTTTTCAATCAATTCATAAAGTGATTTACTATAATAATGTAAAAAAATGTTGAACTCTGAATTACAGGATTGAGAAATAATTAATTACTTATGTAATTAAATTACAATTGCAGTTTATTATAAAGGGGAAAATATTTTAAAAATTACATATAATTTTACCAAACGAAACCTACTTTTTGTAACCTTATTTTAACTTATAAAATATAATATTTAAAAATAATTGTAATAGAATAATAATAATTCACAAAAAAACAGGATTGGTTGTAATGAGTAATCAATTACTTATTTTATAAAAGTAATTTGTAACCAGTTATAAAATTTTGGGATGCAATTGTAATTAGTTTTCAATTGCTTTTAAAAGATAATTTTTCCCAACCTTGCTGAAATGTTATATTCAAGATGAATTAAAATTTTGCTTAATAATATAATAAATCCTTCAATAAAAATTAACAAGCGATCATAATACCTCTTATTAAGAAAGGAGTAAATAATATAAATAAACTAGTATAATTAATAATTACTCATATTGGTACCAAGTTAAAAAATGGTGATTGTTACTAACTTGCATTTTTAATATGTGCCTGATTGTGAGGAAATTCTGGATCACTTTTATCGATATTATCTTCAGCGTCATTATGATTATCTGATATATCTGAATCTTCCCACCATCGTTCTTCTATAAAATCAAATCCTTCCCTTGGTAAAATCGTCTCGTTATTGTCAAAAATGTGTGCCATAGAATTTATACTATATTCTTTTTGTTTTTTCTCAGTCAAGGATGTTGATTCAACGTGATGAAAAAAATTCACGTCATAACCCTTACAATAACGTTTGCGAGTGAAATTTTCTTTTTTTAAAAAAAGTATCAGTCTTGTGATTTTTCTAAGAAATTAATTTACATGTTATTTGGGTGATAACAAAAAGTGACTTATTAATTTAATAACAAACTTAAGTTAACTTATTTTTTACCAACATTACAAGATATCTAACCAATATAAATATTTTTATTGCATTCTTGATGATATTATCATCAAATTTCTTTTTTAAAAAAAATAAATGTAAACTAGTATTAAATTTTTAAAAAATATACTAGCTACTTCCACCATCGTATCGTTTTCTACATTATTAATCTCTAAATTATGATGGTTTTTTGTGTCATTGTCATCATTTGCGACTGTTTGCGAAGGGCTATGATTAAACAATATTGAATCGTTGTTTTCCCTTAGTAATATAAAAGTTAATTAATTACTAAAATTTTACCTTGTAAAATAGCAATCATGATAAACTGGTAAAATATAAATATAAAATGATATTTTCAAGTTTGAAATACTTTACAAGGTAAAATACTATAATATCAAAGAATAAAAACTTATTGATTGATGCATTTTGAGCCAAGAAAGGGAAGCCTATATCGATAAAATAAAAAAATTTACGCATAAATATTTATTATAATATTGATATATTTCTATTTCATCTATAACCATGCATAAATGTTTACAAATTAAAATAAAACTCAGCAAAAACAACAAAGGAGTCCCGACCTTCTATTGTCAATTTAAAAATTTAGTTCCTCCATTCTCAATAATTGGGCATTAAATTGGACACATAATTTATTTTAATTCATAAAATATAGTTTATTTTAAATCAAAAAAATTAAACATTCGATATGGTAAGGGCATGAAGAAAGCATTAAATTCAAAGCGAGCCAAGAACTATAGCTTTCGATAAAAAAAAACAACTTTAAAAATTAATTCATTCCTAAATTAAGATTTTTAAAAAAGATGTCTTGTTAATTTCTATAATTAGATCTAAAAATTATAGCTTGTAACAATTTTGGAAAATATTCTCTCGTAAATAAATTTTTCTATAGTAAAATTCACACAATATAATATAGTATATAATGCATATAGATATATATAGGTATATAAACATATTTTAGTCTTCGTAAGTTTTATGTACGATATATAATCATCTATGTCGCAGTATAAAAGAGGCAGCATACGCCATAATTTAGCTACCGATATACGTTTAATTGACATAGCTATATCTGCGTTATGTTCACAAACTTGATAAAAGACGCATTTATTGTCGCTAGGGTTGTAAACTCCAGAATTAATTTCAATTTTAGTGAGAACATCGCTATCATCTCTGAACCTTATCAAATCGTATTCTTTGGCGCAAGTTAGCATCCAGTCTAAGGAAGACTATTATAATAAATATCCAAAATATTTTGACTAACCCCGATATTAATGTTTAAAGAACCGATCTAATATCGATTTTCTAAATTAAAACGTTAAAATGTGGGTCATTGCCTAATGTCTATTTATAATATCAATGAGCATTGAGCAATATTAATTTTGATATATTATTTATTTTAAAACTAGATAAATAAAATATTTAAAAAATGTATTTTTTTAAAAATTTCGATCCATACTGAAAAGAATTAGATATTTAAAAGGCGTGATAAAAATATATCACTTATAAAGGGTCAAAGTCTCTCCCAAAATCCTACCTTCAGCCTCATCATGGCGGAGGAGTGGCAACGTCTTTTGGCGGCAAATGGAGGTCTAAAAGGTTCCCTGTGATCTGGGTCTAGAATAGGATCACCGTCTCCTCGACGGGGTGTAAAAACCACTTAAAGAGGTTGATGTCAGGAAGGGCATCCGATTGTAAAAACCTTGCTACAAAATTTCCCTATGGTTACAACAAAGCATGGGCGGGGTACAGCCCAAAGTACCCCGTGGGCCTCCTCATCCGCCTACGACAAAAAGAAGGATGGGAAACCTGGTGGAACCACTATACATGAAAATGAAACTTATGACGGCCATAAACGACCTGATAAAAAGTGGAGAAACCAGTTTACGGGTGATCGAGTTAGGGTCGCGACATGGAATGTTGGGAGTATGACGGGAAGAGCGGGAGAAGTCGTCGATGTATTGCACAGAAGACATATAGATGTGTGCTGCATACAGGAGACTAGATGGAAAGGAAATGGGACCAGAATGATTGGCAAGACTAGCGAAAAGTATAAATTCTTTTGGCAAGCAGGTAATGATGGTAAGGCCGGAGTTGGGGTATTGGTTGCGGAGAAATTGGTAGACAAAGTAGTTGAAGTGAGAAGGCTAGACAACCAGATAATGGTTATCAAGATGATTTTTGGTAGAAAGCTATATAATATTATCTCGGCATATGTTCCTCAGGTTGGAAGAAGTGAAGAAGAGAAAGATATATTTTGGGACAGTCTATTGGGGGTGACATCGAGACTGGCAAATGAAGAGGGGATTATCCTGGCTGGTGATCTGAATGGACATGTGGGAGCGAGTAGTGAGGGTTATGAAGGAGTACATGGAGGGTTCAGTTACGGCATGAGAAATTTGGAAGGAGAGAGGATTTTAGATTTTAGTGATGCTATGGATATGGTTGTCTGTAATACAATGTTTAAGAAAGAATCAGAGAAGCTGGTGACTTATAAGTCGGGTAGTACCAAAAGTGCTGTGGATTACCTGTTATTAAGGAGATGTGATCGATGTATAGTAAAAAATGTGAAAGTGATACCGGGAGAGGAATGTATAAATCAGCATCGACTAGTTGTAGGAGATCTCACTCTTAAAGGTGCCAGGGTCGCTAAAAGAAAGTTTGTCCCAAGGCTGAAGGTTTGGAAATTGAAGGAGGAGAATGCTAGACGTCAATTCAATATGGCATTGGCGATTAGGGAGGCGGCGGTGGCACAAGCATCTGGGGTGAATGACAAGTGGGAAGCCATGAAGAAAGCCTGGGTAATGACAACTGAGGAGGTATGTGGATGGACAAAAGGGCCGCCTAGACATAAGGAGACTTGGTGGTGGAACCCGGACGTAGCGAAAGCCGTAGATGAGAAACGGAGGTGTTTCAAAGTATGGTATAATAGCAAAGAAAATAGTGATAATGATATTTACAAGATGGCTAAAAGAAATGCTAAGAAATTAATAGCGAAGGCTCAAGAAGAAAAAAGACATGAGTTTGCTAAAGAAATGGAATGCGCTGATGGAATTGGAAATATGGTTCGAATGGCAAAACAGATGTCAAAAAAGAGGCAGGATGTGATAGGTGTAAAGTGTTTGAAAAATATGGAAGGAAAAATGACGATTGATAGTAGTGGTATTAAGAACACCTGGAAGATTTACATGAAAGGACTTTTGAATGAAGAAAATGAATGGAATAATAATAGGGGAGACCGGGGTAAAGCGATTGACGGGGTAACAATGTTAACGCGAATAACTTTTTAACCATTGAGTATAAAGACCTTAAATTTGGTGTGAAGATGTATTTTTATATCTAATTTCTTACCTATGTTCATCTTTTAAAAAACTTACCTGGTTTTATATATTTTGTCAAAAAACTGTTTTTTACCCAAAAAATATAAAAATCAATCTCTAGTATATTTTGCTTTTAGTAAAATTTACATATCCTCAGGATTCAAAACTTGGCACACATGTTCCTTAATGTATTAACTATAAAATAAAATTTATCTGACATCTTTAGCTATATTAGAAGTCACGCAATAACGATATATATAATATATGTCACCTAGGGGTAAAGCTGTTATGGGTAAAACGGTTAAAATATAAAATTATTCACATTAAATTTTTCATTCATTTATTATAATCAAATAAATATTGATATTTAATATTAAAGTTACCAATTGAGCATTATTAAAATTATGAAATTAATTCAATTTATTTAATTAATTATATATCATTTTAACTCTATGGAACTGGTATTGTTAATTATTAAAATGAAATTGTTTTATTTTATAAATAAACAAGATAAGAGGATTTGCATATCAGCTTGCTAAAGAATATGGCAAATCTTTCCCAGAAAGCTGGACAACTAATGGTATGGCTGGAGAGGACTGGTTTATGGGGTTTAGAAAACGACATTCCCAACTTTCGATTCGTACCCCTGAAGCTACTAGTCTAGCAAGAGCATATGGCTTCAATCCCACAAATGTCAATAAATTTTTTGAAAATTTAATTAAGCTATATAATTCTTATAACTTTGAACCACATAATATATGGAATGCAGATGAAAGTGGTTTCACCACCGTTCAAACTCCTGCAAAAATTATAGCACAGAAGGGTGCCAAACAAGTCGGCTCTATAACGTCAGGAGAAAGAGGAACGTTAGTTACAATATGTTTAGCCATCAATGCTATAGGCCATAGCATTCCACCATTTTTTATTTTTCCAAGAAAACGATACAAAGATCACTTTATTCGTGATGGGCCTATTGGATCTAAGGGTGTGGGAAACGCATCGGGTTGGATGCAAGAGGAGGAATTTTTATCTTTTTTGGAACACTTTAAAAAATATTCTAGTGCATCCAATGAGAAAAATGTCTTATTAATCTTAGATAACCATAGCTCTCATTGTTCAATTTCCGTTATAAACTATTGTCGCTCCAATGGGATTGTTATTCTAACACTTCCACCACATTGCTCGCATAAACTCCAACCATTAGACAAAGCAGTTTATGGGCCATTGAAAAAGTTTTATAATGGAGCTATTGACACATGGATGAGAAATCATGTGGGCAACAATTTCAGATTTATGATATTCCAGGAGTGTTAAAAAATGAAATACCAAGGGCAGTGACACCAAATAATATATTAAATGGGTTGTTATCATGTGGCATATTTCCTTTAAACCCAAATATATTTACAGAACAAGATTATATCTGCTGTAATAATTCAAATGCTAGCTCAAATATTGAATTTGAAAATAATGATGAAAATATTACAGTGACTCAAAATCTTACAGTGACTCAAAATCTTACAGTGACTCAAAATCTTACAGTGACTCAAAATCTTACAGTGACTCAAAATAATGATAGTGATTTATCTATATTATTGAACGAAAATGTTCCAGATGATATTGATGAACCTTATCATGATATGTTACCATCATGCTCAAAAAATTATAATAAAGTATTCAATCCTTCATCTATAATACCTATTCCAAAATTATTCAATATTTCATCGGATAAAATATCTAAAAAAAGAATTCAGAAATATTAACATCTACACCTTATAAAAAAAAATTATTAATACAGAGAAAAAAAAGAAATCAAAAAATAATTGTTTATGTGTTATTTGTAATAAAAACTATAAAAATAGTCGCGAGGGCGATGAATGGCTAAAATGTACAATGTGCCTTGAATGGGCACATTCTAAATGTGCTAATTATGATAATTATTTTACAAGTCCTTATTGTATCGATTAGTTTTTAAATAAAAATCATATATAAATCTTAAATTTGTAATATTTGTTAAATAAAACAATAAATATGTGTCAAATATTATTTTAACCACTTTACCCTAGTGCTTATCCATTTTACCCTGTACCCAGGGTAAAATGGCGAAAATGAGTAGTTTTACATAACTAATCATAGCTCCTAAAATATTATAGATAGAGGGCTACACTTTTTTTTATCTTGTAGAAGAGGAATGGGGCTACACATTGATCTATAATTTGTTGTGTTTGACTCTTGTTTAAAATTTTTATGGTAAATATGCAAAATGCCTATCGTTTTACCCCTGTCTCCCCTATTAGTTGTGCAAAGGTAGAAGGTCCAGGGTGTAAATTTGGCAAGGACGAGATAAAGAGAGCAGTGAAAAAGATGAAGAAAGGGAAGGCATCGGGTTTAACGATGGTGGTATCAGAAATGTTTAAAGGTTCTGATGATTTAGGGATTGAATGGTTAATGAATTTAGCAAATCAAATTGTCACAGAAGGTACTATTCCCGAGGACTGGCGAAGAAGTATAATTATCCCAGTATACAAAGGGAAAGGTGATCCTTTAGATTGCGGGTCTTACAGAGCTATTAAACTCTTGGAACATGCAATGAAAGTATTTGAGAGTGTTAGAGAAGCGGTTAAGGGAACAAATTAAAATTGATGAAATGCAGTTTGGTTTTACGTCGGGAAAAGGCACGACAGATGCAATTTTTGTGGTGAGACAAATTCAGGAGAAGTATCTTGCTAAGGAAAAGAAACTCTATTATGCGTTTGTTGATTTGGAGAAAGCATTTGATAGGGTGCCGCGTGAGATTACAAGATGGGCCTTGAGAAAATCCGGTGTGGAGGAATGGTTGGTTACCGCAGTGATGGCAATGTATGTTGGAGCACAAACAGCAGTACGGACGGATTATGGTGATAGTGACAGCTTTGAGGTGAAGGTAGGACTTCATCAAGGATCCGTGCTGAGTTCATTATTATTTATCTTAGTAATGGATGTGGTGGCTAGAGAAATGCGTGAAGGACTTCCCTGGGAGATATTATATGCAGATGACCTTGTATTAATGGAAAATAGTGAGGGAGAATTGAGGGATAAAGTTAGTAAATGGAAGATGACTATGGAAGCAAAGGGCCTGAAAATGAATGCATCAAAAACAAAGGTGATGATTGGTGGAGAAAATCTAAAGATGGAAGAATCCGGTAAGTGGCCTTGTGGTGTATGTGGGAAAGGAGTTGCTAGAAATTCTATCCAATGCACCAGATGCCAGAAATGGGTACATAAAAGATGTAGCGGGAAAAAAGGCAGTTTGATGTTAGAAAGAATGACCTTTATTTGTAGAACATGCATGAAAGGGATAAATAATAATGATAACCTAAAAAATGGTGGTCTGGATATTGGCAATGGGTTAACCCTAGAAAAAGTGGATAAGTTTTGTTATTTAGGTGATATGCTAAACGCAGATGGTGGTGTAGATTCTGCCGTTGTTGCAAGGATCAGACAAGCTTGGAAGAAGTTCAGAGAGATGTCGTCTATTCTTACAAATAAAAAAGTTTCTCTGAAGTTAAAGGGGAAAGTTTACGTAAGCTGTGTGAGGAGTTGTTTAGTTTATGGCGGTGAAACATGGGCAATGAAAGCAACTCACGAAACCAAATTAGAAAGAACAGAGATGAGGATGGTTAGATGGATGTGTGGGGTATCTCTGAAGAGAAAAACTAGCAAGGAATTGCGAGCAAGATTAGGTATAGAAATGATTGGTATGGTAATGCGACGAAATAGACTAAGATGGTATGGGCATGTGGAACGTATAACAAGAGACGACTGGGTAAAGAGATGCACAATGATGGAAGTAGGAGGATCAAGACCTAGAGGAAGACCCAAGATGACGTGGACAAATGTGATAGCGGCGGATATGAGAAGCATGAATCTTACAAGTATTGATGCTCAGGACCGTCAAAAATGGAAAAGAAAAATCAGAGGGAAAACTGGCCTACCGGGATAAACCTGGAAATCGCCATAAAACGGAGAAGAAGATGAAGATAAAGGGTCAAAGTATACTTTTTGCAAATTTCCAGTGAAGGGTAAATCTCCTAAAGAATTTTAATAAAGATTCATCAAATTTCCCAGAGGAGGATTGATTTTATAGAGAAAAAGTATAAAGGATTTGACTAACTCTTATGCCTTGTCCACTCTAACTCTATGTTTAAAACGCTTGCAATGATAAAGTGAGAATTTTATCTCCTTTCAACCAAGGCGTTTAAACGCAGCGTAAAGAAGTGGACCAGGACCAGTCCTTATACAAACGTTAATCGACCTTTCTATTGTTATCTTACCTATACAAATTAAGTAAGATAAATATATAATTTTATACAAAAATCATCAATAGGTCTTTTATGAATCTCAGATCGGTCGGTTAAAGCGTGGAGTGGTGTAGTCCTACAAATATGATCAGTAGGCATAATAATTATTTAATTCAAATTACGCATGATTGTATGAATAAAAGTATTAAATTTTCGATAGATAATGAATTGAATTGGTATAATATTTAATAATATTATCCGAGGTATTACATCTTTATCGTAATTTTGGTATATCCTCATCAAGCTGTGATCGTTGACAACCTTAAAATCGGATGATTCACTGCATTGTTGTATATTCTGCTGATCGCCAATATGAAATTCGTCGATTGAAGAGAATGAATGCATTGAATAATTGGAAGGGATAGTCGAAAGAAACTGATTGGCCGCGGAATTTACATAGATTTTCGACTTTTTATCTCGATCGAATTTGCTTATACTACCTAAGGACAGCGTTTTAGGGCGTTGAATTATTGTTTTATTATCATTATTAACAATAATATCACCAATGGAGTCTAACGCACATATTTTAGGAGACGTTTGTTGAGATATATCGGATATTCTGTAATATTTTTCATTGGAATTTATATTTTTTATCTTTATTAAATTTTGAAGGATTTGTGGCATACGTTGATTGTAATCATCAAGTATTTTTAAGGGGTTATCTTTATTTTCTAAGTGAAATCCATCTATGGGATGCACTTTGACGAGCCATTCCTCATAATATTTGAAAGCAGGTTGAATTATATATCTGATAAGTTCAATTTTCAGATCATCTTCGGGATGAGCCAAATTAATGTGTTGATTACTAGATTTACTAGATCGATATGTGGATATCAATTTACCAGTGGTATCAAAGGATAAAGCTATAGGAGTCGCTTTGATGGAGGGTTGTATCCCGGCTCTTGGATGAGAGGCATATAACCCGTAATTATCTTCTTTAATTGGTTGTGTTGATAATAGTTTATTCGTCAAGATATTGGCAGAATTAATCATGAACGGGGAAAGTTTAGCTTGGATATTGGTATCAGCACTTTTGCGTCTAGTAAATATCTTATTGGTAAGTATAAGATTGAACGATTTATTTTTTAAGACTTTTTCAGAGGCCGGAGGCGAAAATGAGTAAGAGTTAAGTGGAGAGGAAGTGGGTAGGTGATCGTATATATAAGAATAATTGTAAAATTTATGATCAAATAACAATGCATCTTTTCCGCAAGACACAATCGATTGCTGAGAATATTCAATGCCTCTCCATTGGATGCCTAACATATATAGGGTTTAATGGGAGGCATTTATAACAAATACAAAATTATATTTTACCTGTCACCACATCTTTATGTTCATTAAAAATAAATTGAGATATATAAGGTTTCCGTATATCCCATATATTGATATTAAAATCAAACACTAATGCAATACTAGCTATCTGGTATTTATTATGTGGTCTCCATTTAACTCGAGCAACCGATGCAAATGTTTGAATGCTATTTTTCAATTTAGGCAGATAATTTAAGTCCCATACCTAGGTGTAAATATGAACATATATTAATTGGGAAATTGCAATTGTATTATAACTAAGACAACGATTTATTTATAAAATTTTTTTTAAAAAGAATGATAAAATATGATTTTAATTAAATCTGCTAGTTTGCTTATTTGTGATCTTCAAAGTGTTTTTACTCATTTAGGCAAAAAAATTTGGGGTCATGCCAAAAGTTATTTTTAAATACGATGACTGGACCAACCTCGTGGAACTATGTATACAAAATTCTGCTTTTTAAAATTAATATTACAATCAGGGATGCAAACTGAACCTTTAAATCAGCTTTTTTTCATTGAACATAAACCATTAATGATTTACTAATCTGAACTGAAGTCTTCCTTATAAAATAATGTGATAGTTATTACTAGTAATAGTACATTGCTAAAATTCTCCGAATTGTTATAGACTATATCTATAAATTTCAATCACATTTTAAAATTTTAATATTGCTAGTTTACAACATTTTCAACATATTATCAACTTCCTTTTTATATTTAAATTCTAAAAAAGCTTATTAACCTTAGATTTGTTATAAAAGTGGAAGATTCTAGTGAAAGTGAATCAACATCTGAATGGATCTTCATCTAAGTATATTTATTAGGTTTTCTTTTTAAAAAAGGATGGTATAATCAAAATCTATTAGAGCGATCAATGTTACTATTAATTAATGAACATCCTTGACCAGTGGACAATTCCTCCGAGTATATAAATTGTCCATAGATAGTAACATGTGCTTAACGCTCAATTTTATAATGTTATAAAAAAATAGCTCAATTGACAGCTATTTGCTAAGATACAACATTCATTAATAAGTCTATGTTTATTTATAATGATTTTCATTGTATTTATGAAACTTTTTATTTTTTTATTTAAATCGCATATACAGTGTTGTGATGATTTAATGAAACATATTGACGATTAAATTAAAACTCATCCATATAAAATTATTTTGTTTGCAAAAATAATTAAAATAACAAAAGGAGTAATAAAAGAATTTTCAATAATGCTTTGTCTACATTTTAATTATTTTTGCTTCCATATGTGTGAGCATTTATTTATATATTTTTTGTTTTTACTAATAATTACATTCTTAAATTTTCTTAAGCCTTTAACAATCTTTATATAGTGAAAATTAAAAATCTGAATTATAATATATATCATGAGTAAAAATGTAATTCTATAATTAATATTAATATTATTTATTACAATTTTTAAATTTACAGACATAATGTTAATATCTGATTATTTTTCTATTATTTTTATTCCTAACTGCTTTGAATAAAAATGATTATTATTTTATAAATTATTTAGGTTTTCAATTACCAATATAGCTCTTTTAAGTAAATGGACCCATGCAGTTAAAAGAGAATCTTTTTAAACCAAACAAACACTCATGTCTCTGCAGTGCAAATTTTTCAAGAATCTTTTAATCCAACATCTACAAATTATCATATTTTTATTTAACAATTAAATAAATGTACAGGATTTTTAAATTCTTCCATTAATATAATATTTACAAGCTAAATCTAAATGGCCTGTGTCAATTTCAATGAAGAAATAAGTTTCTCTTAATCCAATACCTTTATTAATTCAAAATGAAATACTATATTAAAATAACAATTAATTGTGAGTATATATGTTAGTGGTTGATGTGTTTTTTCTGGAAATGTATTATTTTTTCAACTTTAAATCACTTTTTGAGTGCTTTTTTAAATTTAAAAATATGATTTTATTGGAAATGTATTCCAGCATGCTTAGCATACCTATCTTATGAATTCTAAACAATTTTGTTGTAACCTTTGAGTCATTTATAATTTTTATAAAAAAATTAATGGAAAAAAGAATATAAATTAGAGTAAGTTTAAAAGTTTATGGCAAAATTATCTGGAATTCATAAAGTAGGTATTCCAAACAAATGCAATATATTTCTGGTAAAATCAGATATTTAAATTCAAAAAAACACACTCAAAAAATAATATAAAGTTGAAAATATAACATTGCCAGAAGAAAAAAAACATTGTTGCTAACTAGGCCTATTCAAAAATAATTCGATTCGATTCGAATAATAAATTATTTGTTTTATCATAATACGAATAATCATTTATTCGAATAAAACGTATTATTCGTAATATTTAATAAATTGTTTAATAAATCTAACATTTGTCATTTCTATTTGTTGACCAGCCAATCTGAGAGGTGATGTGTTTGTGTTTATAAAAATTCTAGCACAAATTTAAAAAATTTTTATTTACCACATTTTTTGAATCTCATAATAAATTATATTAAAAATTACACACACCAGAGGTATATAAAAATATATTACATCTCTACAATAATTATTGTTAGCTAGCCTAATTATGTTAGAGGAGAATGCTTCTGATAAAATTATGCTTGATGTTGAAGATAAGAAAATTTCCTCATATCATATGGGAATCAATATCAAATCCTTAAAGACGGTGAAAAGGCTGCTTGCAATTTGCAAGAGTATTATAAAAAGGCAAAACAACATCTCCTCTTATTAATCATTATAATAGGTTTCATTCACACCTTAGTAAAAAAAATAGTAAAATTGACATTTTTTTAAAGTCTACACCAAATTCTTCAAAAAAGATTAATTTTAAGGAAAATTTATTAAAATTATTTATAAATAATAATATATCTTTTAAAATTATTAATTCAAATGATTTTAAAAATTTTATAAGTGATCTTGATTGTTCTGTAAAATCAATATGCTCCAATACTATTAAATTGCACATGTATAATACATTTGCAGAAAAAGAACAGTTGGTAAAAGAAATAATATCTAAAAATAAACAGATTAATTTTTCATCTGACATTTGGACTAGCCCAACACAGGTTCCTTTTTTAGGGCTAAGAGCCCATTTTATTGATCATAATTTTAAAACAAATAACATAATTTTGGATGTCAGTCGAATAAATGAAACACATTCAGGTGAAAATATATTTAAAGCCTTTGTCAAAATAATTAAAAATTATAATTTAGAGAATAAAAATTTTTATATAACTTTAGATAATGCAACTAATAATAAAACATTTATTGATACTTCTTTAAAATATCTATTAATAAAAATAGGGCACATCCGATGCTTTGCCCATGTTTAATTTAATATCCAAAGAAATTTTAAAAATTTTAGATCCTTTAATTCTAAAACTAAGAAACATTATTAGAATGATTCGTAATTCCCTTAAAAAATATATGTAGTTCCCTACACCCTCCCCTAAATTTTTTAAAACCAAAATTATATTGTGAAATAAGGTGGAATAGCACCTACCAAATGATTGAAAGGGGCTTATTGTTAAAGCCTGCTATAACTAAATTAGTTAATGAAGTAATAACTAATATTAAAATTCTTCAAGAAACAAATATCAGAGGTAAACTAAAATTTATAATTAGGTAATAATATAATACTTTGATAACATATAGGAAGAATGGGATGTTCTTATAAAAATTAAAGTTATCCTATTGCCTTTATATGAAACTACAAATATGGTGTGTGGGGAGAATTATCCTACTTATAATTTGGTTATACCTTATTATATTTTAATTCTTGAACATCTAAAAAATGAAAAACCTGGTTTCCATAAATCCTTTAACAATAGTTTCAAAGTAGCATGTGATAAATTGTTGGGCTATTATAATTTAACTGCCGATGATGCTATAATAACCACAATATTAGATCCCAGGCTTAAAGTAGAATATTTTAAATCAATATCTGTTGATTATGATATTGATATATCCAAGTTAAAGGACAAATTTAAATAGATTTACAATAGATATACAGGTATTTAATTTACCCCCATTTAAATATGATTTTATTTTATAAGCTCATAATTATAACTGTCAAACAAATAAGGATAAAATTTAACAAAACAGGCTAGACATTGTTTTTAAACAAAATAATATTCAACTGTGTGAAATAGATTTTTATCTGAGTGAACCAAGAGCAAAGAGTGATACTGACCCGTTAATGTGGTTGAAGGCAAATGCATATCGGATCCCCATACTCTCGAAACTGGCAAGGATTATCTATCTATACAAGGAATATCAACTGCTTGTGAAAGGCTTTTCTCAGTTGGGCCTAATTTTTTGTCAAAAAACCGCATGTCATATAAGGAAGAAAATATAAGAAAAACTCTTTGCCTTAAAAAGTGGCTTAAATTATAAATTAAATTAATAATATACATTTTAATTTTGTTTATAACTTGATTATATATTATTTATTATCAGATTATTGATTACATATTATTATAATTTTTTCTGTTTAAAATCAAATTTGTAATAAAAAAATTTATCTATATATTTGAGCATGATTTATTTTATTAAAAAAATTAAAATAGAATACAAATCGTAGATTTTATTATTCGTACGAATTCAAATAGTAAATTATTCGATTCGTTATAATGCACTATTCGATTCGAAATCGTTTTTGAATAGGCCTCTCGCTAACATATATATAATATTTCTTTAATTATTAATTTGAGTGAATTTAAGCATTAATAAAAGATCATATGATTTTTATATCATCGTGAGTAAAAATATAATATTAATTAATATTATCTTTTTTAATTTACATATTTTTTATTATTTTTTAATTTTACAGATATAAAATATTTCCCACTTCCATTTAATATATTATTTTTATTCCGGATCCCTTTATTATTATATAAAATAGGATATTGAAGATTATCATTTTTTAAAAATTATCTATGTTTCCAATTAATAATAAAAAGTAAGTGTACTCATGCTGTTAAAAGAAAATTTTACAGCGTATGTTAGATCAGGAATTCCCCTTATTTAGTTCCTAGGTATAAAAACATTTTATTTCAACATTTTGAGAGAAAAGAAAGTTTAAATTTAAAAGTAAATATGATAAATAAAATAATTAAAAATATAATAGCTTAAGTATGTGTAGAGATGTTTTTCAAGAATAAAATTTATACTTCCTTTATAAAGGTAT